CCATCGATGGAGTCCAGTGTACTGGGCCCATACTATTGGGCCGAAAGCCAACACACGAAAACGAACGATCTCTGCACCCCAATACATGGCAGTGTCACCCCCCTGGTCTAGATATTTATGGCGTAAGAAGTTAACATGACCCACATACCAATATTAATGATATTTGATGATGAATGGGAACAAGGGAATCGACCGACGTCTATGCGGATGGCCAGGAGAACGCTTCGAGATTCTTCTGATCCTTTTGCGGTTCCAGAAAATGAATTCCGCAGTCTGTATAGGTAAAAATACAATATATGTTTCTAGGTTATGTTTTAAATCTACTCAGAGTAATTGTGCGTTTAAGATTATCCAAAGATGCAGTATGGGCTTTAATTGATGAATTGAGGCCGTTTATGCCCGTGAAAAGGAGAATTACAGCCATTCCAATTGAATTACAGGCAAATACATGAAAATACAAATTTTAGTATAGTATAAAAGCATTTTTCTCCTTTTTGGAACAATTTGGAGCAGTGATTAATAACATATTTCCAGATATTAGTAGCCCTAAATTTCATGGCTACAGGGTCATACCAAAGAAGAATTGGGCAAGACTTTCTTACTTGTATGTCCCAAGCCATGATTAGCAAATCTCTTCATGCGACTGTGAATGGTCTGAATCAGTTGATGAAGAAGTGGATTGCTTTCCCAGTATCTGATGCAAAACTTAATGCAGTTAAACAAGGGTAAGTTCTAATCACAGTATGTATATGTGATAAATATTTATTTTTTATTTTGACATCTGGATTTGATTTGACTGAAACATGTCGTTTATAGAATAAACTCTACAAATAATCAGTGTTTGAGCCCATGCGTAGAATTGTATTTTGTCAAAGGGAACCACTGAATAACTGAAATGTAATAAATATGTCAATCTTTGTCTTTCAAGTTTGTACGGTATTATTTCAATTATAATTTGTTTTAGATTTTTTGAATTCTCAGCATTTCCAGGAATTATTGGTGTAATTGATAGCACCCATATTGCTATTGTTCCACCAGAAGCACAACGGGGTCATTTATTTATCAACAGAAAACAGTATCACTCATTGAATGTACTAGTCGTAAGTACTTAACTGTAGTCCTAATAATGAATGGATTCTCTGTGGACGGATTGTACCGTTCCAGATTATGATTTGCAATCAAACTCATTTTTGTGTGTATTACATGTTTTTTTAACCTTAAGGTTTCAGATTATAAAGGTGAAATACTGGCTGTGAATGCAGCACATGGTGGCAGAACACATGACGCAAAAGTGTTTCAATCTTCACGATTGTTCGCTCATTTGACCGAGCAATATGAAAATGGTCGAAAAGGCTTATGGCTTCTAGGTAAATATTGTTATTAATACTAGATTTATGGGATTCATCAATCTAGGATGTATAATAGTTGTGTTTCCTTTAGGTGATTCCGCTTATCCTTTACTTCCATTCTTACTGACACCAAAGTTGGATCAGCAAGAAGGAACTCCAGGTGCTAAATACACAAATCATCATATTCGAGCTTGTGAAGCAGTAAAGAGATGCCTCGGAGTATTGAAAGGTCGATGGCGATGCTTAAGAAAAGAACGAGCATTACATTACCAACCAGAATTTGCAGGTAATTTTTATGCGAAATTTAGTTGACATGTAGATATTACAATTTAACAATGTAATATATTAAAGTTATTAATGATATTAACAATTTCTATCCCTCTAATTATAGCCTTAATTGTGAACGCATGTTGTGTTTTAAACAATATTGCAATCAGATGGAGAATTTCAGAAGATGAAATATATATGGATGAAATAGATACAGACCCACCAGAGCTTTATGAAAATATTGATATGGAAAATGGTGAGCAAGCACGAAATCAAATCATCGAATGGTATTTCACTGATTAAGTCATTCTAAATGGTCGAAACAAAGAATGAGAATGATAAATTATGTATATTTTTATCTACATTTTATAGCTTATGATAAGATAACTGTAGAGGAATTGTAAATATGGATGTAAATATTAATAAACAATTGAACATAATAAAAATACGTATTTTTATTATAATTTTAATAAACTATTTAAAATATGTGTACTTTTAATTTTACATTTCTAAATATTGAGGCCCCATTTCTTCAATGGTTCTTTGCAATGATACTATTGCGCTAGTCATTATTTTTACTTGATTCATCAATTCCTTGTGGCTTTGTTTTTTGAAAGCTAGTTTCTCTCTGGCAAGAGCCAATTTTTCTTTTTTAAGAAGCAAAACTTTATTTTGGAAATTGAATACTTCCATCAGGGCTCTCTTTTTATTTGTTGTATTACGGTTTTCTGAAAGAAGTAATTTCGTATATACTACAGGAACATTGTAACTTAATTTTTTTAATGAATCTAGCAAGCATACGTCATGTTTATTTACCTCCTTCATCAACACATAGACGTTTCGACGTTATTTGATTTTTTGGCGTAGACGTTGACTGAATATTCTCGCCGTCTTTAAGATCACATAATGGTTCCTAAATTAAGATATAAAATCTCAATACAGTGATGAAAATAGCAACAGTTGGACTAATGTTATTTGCATTTTATACTAATACTAATATAAAATAAGAGACAACTTACCATGTGAGCTGGACTTTCATCGCCTCTCCCAAATGTTTCTTTGTCCGATGTAGTTGTCTTTTCTTCATACAAAAATCCACCATAAGATTTCTGAAATAACATTAAGAATTTCACATGTAATAATGAGTCTGATAGTATATAAATAAATCATTTGTTTCTGTAATTGTTATATAACAGAACATACAAAGAAAAGCAATAACTACCACTATAGTAAAGTTACTTGCATTTTTCATTGTTGAATTTGCAGTGTTACTGAGAACCTCACTTTGTTCTGAGATTTCTACTCCTTTTGATGAATTTGGGGTATTCTCAATCCATTGTTTATCCATTGGGAAATCTGAAAATCTCTGATATAAAAGTAATATGTTTAACATTTAACAATGAATATGATCGTGTACCAATAAATAAAACAGATACATATAAGTATTTAGTTACTGATGACATAATAATGAAACAAAAATTATAATTACCAAAGGGGAGGGACCAACGTTACCAAGCCCTCCTTCTATAACTCCTGTCAAACCTGCTACATCAGGTGCAAGGAATTCCAGCAAATTATTTTCAATGCTGGTCAAACTTAATTTTAATGGTGATCCGCCACCAATGCCTGCCACATGTCTTCTTTTTAGAACTTTTTTTAGAACATTGGACTTCCAGTCTCTCCACGTCTATACGTATTAAATACTTTATTAGTTCATAATTTAAAAATTAAATTATATTTAATAACAATAGTGTATGAATATGGGTACCTTTGCCCATTCTTTCTCAGACTTTTTTGGACCATATCCTGACGTGTTCAATAATTGTGTTATGTTAGTCCACATTTCATCCTGAAAGAATTAAGAAAAAAAAAAACTATACAAAAGTCCAGAAATTTTAACAGAAAATCGTAATCAAGAAAAGTCTTATTTGAAATGTAGCATAGAATAGATAGATAAACTTAATACAGTATTACTAACCTCAATTATAACAATACTTTCAATAAGAAATTTACTTACCATTTTTCTTTTGTTATGTGAATTATATCGCATCCTCCCATTACCAAAATCTGGATGACTCTTCATGAAATTTAATAAAATCGTCTTCTGATGCTCTGTCACATTCATTCTTACTTTTGAAACTTCAATACTACTTTGGATATTACCGCAGAAACACTGACAGTGAAAACCACTCAAAACTCGTCGCAACACGTTAATGCTAAAGGGGTCGATTTTGTAACTTTTACTAGGATGAAAATGTGTAATACTTCACATGAGAATATTCGATAAGAAACGCCATTGAACGCCGTAACCAGAGAAAGGATGAGAGCAGGGATGAGTTGGGAGATTCCTCATGGGCAGGGTCGCGCGATCGCATCCTGTGCTGCTCTCTGGTTTCGTACGTTAGCTTTCACCGCTTTTGCCCCCAAGGGCGGCGCAACAAAATTCTGGTAGGCGCTCGCGCAATCACGATGGCGGTGCCATCTAATAGTCGCCGTTGGCGGCTCACGTACACTGAACTCCATCGATGGTTTCCTCCTGGTCCGCACTGTCCTTTCCGGCCGCGCAGCGTACTAGCGGCAGGAGCAGCGCGAAATTCGAATCGCTCGAGGGGCAGAATGGATTTTCTAAAGAAAATTAATATTTATAAACAAAAACAATTAATGAAAATTATTTTAGTATTATTGTGGAGCGTCTCTGTCCCACATAATGTAGTTTTTGTTAAATGATGATTTACAGAGTTTTATAATAGAATATGTTCTATTAAATGTTAACAAGTTTCTTAGCGATTCAATTGTTCCATTCACTGAACTGAAGTTAAAATATTATCTTAGCTTAAAAGAAATAGTTTCTAAATATATATACAGTGAAATACCGTAGGAAAATTTACGATGCATCAACTATCGGACATAGGAATGAAATCGTGATTTCATGTCCCTTATATATTTACGTTCTACACCATTCTTCGTATTCCTCGAATAAATGAACACCTGTTGTCGCCGTGTATAGGCACGCCAAGCTCCTTTTTTTCACCTGGGTTATTCTTCGATGAGTAGATGATACACTTTTATGGATGACTAATTTTATTTCTTTCCTGCTTTATGGTTTTACAAGGACTGACACTAAACTACATAACTCTAAACGTTCGCTGAATATATCGCAAAGGAGAGGTAACACTCCCATCATTGGTCATCGTCGCTTAAATCTGAGCCTATCAAAACGGGCTCGTAATCCTCCCCGTTCGACCTCTCACAAACTAAAGAATTTAGGATTCCGGTACGGAACATGCTCCCCCCGTTGAGAGCTTGCGCTCAACATTTAGAATTTGCAGAACTTTCGTCTATGACGGGAAGAAGAGTTATCTTTTTTACGTTCCTCTTCAGAATGCTGTCCCCAGTCAAACCTTATGATTCCATCCTCTCCTGGGTGGATTTCGCTAACTCGACCCATTCTCCACTGCATGGGTGACATATTGTCTTCT